AGTAAACGCATAATTTTCAGAGCTTGACCCCGTCCACACTATGCTAGAGAAATTTGAAAATGGAGCTTTCTTTCTACAGTTAGGCCTATACCATCCACACTAATCCATCACAAAAACAGACCTTTTTGACAACACTCTTCAAACCGGAGAAATTTAAAAACGCCGACTTTTCATTTTCGTATGGACAGAAAACATTTTGAAAACAGAGCTTTTCAAAAATGATGTCATCGTGATAATAAATGTGATTTCCCTGCCCAAGTTTTCCTCAACCACGAATCCAGAATGACTGGTTATTGTTGCATTTGTGTAGTGTGGACGAAAACATCTGCTGGGTTTCCAGAGCGAAACCTCCATTTTCAAATTCCTCTCGTGTAGTGTGCACAGGGCCTTACGTTATGGGAGTTTTACAGACGAGAACAAGAAAGAGTTACATTACCCTTGGTGCAGCCAGTTCCTTTATTTTGTTCATCTCTGACTCTGATAAAATGTTCCGCATAATAAGTATCTCGGGTTTGACAAACACTCGTTCAAATTTTGCAGGCCTGATTTTTAATCTTGGTGTAGCACTGTGGTACCAACATGTCATTTTACTCTGTTCCCATGCAGTCTGTAAAAAAATTTACAACAGAATGATACGACACATGGACAAGAGGAAATAAATACAGTTGAACACCTATTAAGCAGCCACCCTTGGGGAAATGGGAGGTGGCCGCTTAAGAGGGGCTCCAGGCTGCTTAATAGGGGTTTGTTTACTTTGGGTTAATTTCTCAGTGAACATGGAGTCACTTCAAGACAATTATGATAAACATGTGTTTGAATGTTTTTATCACTCGTCACCTTCTATTTCAGACTCTTATCTACCATTGCTTTTTCCAAAACAAAGTTAATTTAAGTGTAGTAAATTTTGGGTGGCCGTTTAATAAGGGTAAAGACAATAGAAAAACCTTCATCAGGGTGACCAAACAGTGGCTGCAGCCGCTTAAAGGCTGGTTTCCATATGATCGCAGACGATTGCGGATTGCNCAAACTGCCTCTTAAGGCTGGTTTCCATATGATCGCAGACGATCGCGGATCGCAGATCGCAAAAAGTTCTGCGATCATCTGCGATCATATGGAAACACACTTCTGCGATCGTCTGCGATCGTGATCGCAGACGATCGCAGACGATCACAGAAGATAGAACCATGTTCTATCTTCTGCGATTGTCTGCGATCGTCTGCGATCGTCTGTGATCAATTGCGATCGTGCGATCATATGGAAACCAAAGTTCTACGATCTGTGATCGAAACATATCCCATAATATTTTGAATTCTGACCCATGATTCAACACTTCTTCACAACAAAGCAACCGCTTATTTGTTGTGAACATGGCTGGCGTTGAACAAGGTAACGTTAGTAATGAGAAATTTATGGAGGAAGTTGCGCGATATCATTGGGTTTACCACTGTAACAGTAAAGATTTCAAAGACAAAAACGAAAAGGCTAACTGCTGGGAAAAAATTGGGGAGAAATTTAATTTATTGGCAGCTGAGGCGGAGGTCAAATTTCGCAACATAAGAACTGCGTATGGTCGTTATCTGAAGCGATTGAAAATGCTACCTTCTGGATCGGGGCAAG